GTGCTTAGCATCCTCAGATTTGTGCATGTTGGTGCTTAACAATCTAATTAGCCACTTTAACCTAGATTAGAGAGGAAAATCCCCCTTTTAAGGGAGACTCAATCGAGTTGGTTTCCTTTAGCTTTTTAAGCCACCTAACTAGGTTAATTTAGGGCAAACCTCAATGTTGAATTAAGCAAATTGGTTAAGCGCGATTAAGCCGTCCAACCCTTGAGTTGAGTGAGGGAGTAAGTCAACCACCGATTGCCTAATCCGAGAGGGCAGAGTGACATGGCCTATAATGCTTACCTCGGTTTAGCAATCGAGATTGTGGTCTACGACCATATATGAATCCCTCTGTGGTTCACGGTTACCTTGCCCATAGCAATCGTTTCAATCCAACGAGTCACGGTGACTAGTTAGGGGGAAGCAACTCTTGGGCGAAGCTCCCTTAGTTAGACTTTTCTTTTATTTACTTTTCCTTGCTAGTTTAGTTTGTAGTTTTCTTAGTTTTAAAACCCAAAACTGTTTTGCTAGATAACAACTTAAGCGATTGAAGTAGGGGTACATGGACCGGCCCAAGTCGATATTTAAATACTTGCTCTATACTGCCCTCGGCTAGAGTTTAAGAACTTGGACTCTAGTCGGGATTAATTTGTGGTGTAGTTTCGTGTGAGTCAACGAGCTGATACCAGATTCGGGGGAAGATTACGATGTTGAATTCTGGATTTTGGAGAGTAGTTTCATCGTTCAAGGAATAAGACTTGGGGGGAAGAATGAGATCTTGCCCTGGAAACTAGTTTCATCCAAGAGAGCTCGTTGATTCTAAGGTTAAGAGTTTAGAGATTAAAGCATGATTTGAAAACAAAGTGGAATCTGGTGAGCTTGTTCCCAGAGAGGTCGAGCCCTTAAAAAGTTTCGCAGAGACCACCGAGCTCTATCGAGATTCCGTCGGGGAAGTTGTTGTGCGACTAAGATAACCGCTTTAATTTTTTTAGCCTAGCTAACAACGCTCCCGGAATCGTCAGTTGGAGGTGGTTCTAAGACAAATCGAGGATTTCCATAGGGAGCAATTAGTGAAACCCGATTGGGGACCCGAAAACCGATTATCAGACAAAGCTGGCGGTGAAATTGTTGATGGAGATATCCAATACCTTAAGCGACAAAGCTGGCGGGGAGCTCCCTCGTGAGAAGATGATCGGAAATATCCAGAACGGAGAGAATCCTGCACGCGCGTAGCGTGGTGTCGATTTTCCCTAGAGTTTGTTCTGGGAATCGAATGAACCCTAAGTTGGATATCCTCCGTCTCCGCCACAACTCCTCCGGCCTGTATCCCCTTGACTGATCGACACACTTTGGGTTGGACTCCGGAAATTTAATTTTAGTTTTTTAATAGTCTGGAGAATGAGCTGGGAATTGCAAATTCAGATTTTTTTATTTTTTTTATTGGCACATCACTCATTTAACGGTCAACTATTAGAGTTGACTGACACATCATCCAAAGTTAACGGAGAATAACGGAGAGTGATCAAACTTGAACCAATAAACTAATTTTAGTGACCATGAATGGAATAAACTAATTTTAGTGGTCACAGAGAAGATCAACTAGGGATTGATCTTTGGGGTCACAGAAAAGAGGAAGGGAAGAGGAAGTTGTTTGGGGCGAGAAGAAGAAAGGAGAGGGGAGGGCGGCAGTAGGCTGTCGAGGGAGAGGGAAGGAAGAGAGAGGGTTGGCTGAATTGGGAGAGAGGAGGAGAGAGATTGAGAATTAGGATTTAGGTTATAATCTTTGCTTAATCCCTCAATTCCACGTACAAGTAGTTTATATAAAAATGGTTAATTCCCTACTGCTACCCAATTATTCCCCCAATTCCCGAATAGTCCAAATAATCCGAATAATAATAAAACGAAAATAATTCAAAGTACTAAAATGCAAGTTCTCATCATCCGCCCTTTCTTCGAAAAGCAACCTTGTCCCCAAGATTGTTCCTCCACCTCACTGGTTCTCCTCTTCGCCATTTTCGACGTCCTCAGCGGCATCCTCGACTTCATCTTCCCAACGTCCGACGAGCATCATCAGGTCCGGCTTCGGGCAATGATGGCCAATGGTGAATCGACCATCGCAGTTGAAGCACTTACCCTCCCGCCTCTTTTGTTCGATCTCAGCCGGCGAGAGTCGCACGAACCCTTTAGGTATGGCCCGCGGCCCCACTCTGGCCACTGGTGCCGCATTCCCACTCCCGGTATTAGCTCCGGAGGCATTGCCCGCCCCGGGTCCACCCCCACTGCCGCCAGCCCCACCGCTGCCACCAGCTCCACTGCTTCCACCCCCTCCGCTTGGCCTCGGGTAACGACCAATGGTGCTCCTCCAACTGGCAAATTCTTCCTCCTTGTGACCTGCAAGACGAAAAACAGCCTTCAGAGAATCCGACTCGAACACTCTGACGGCCGCCGCTATCTCGGGCTTCAGGCTCGCCATGCACAACCCCACCAGTGTCTCCTCTGGCACTCCCCTGCACTGGTTACCCAACTTGAAGAACTCAGCGCAATAGTCGGCCACCGTGCCGGTCTGTTTTAGCTTCGCGAGCTGCTCTGGTGCCCACCCTTCTGATTTCCCGAACTGATACCTGAGCTCCTCCTGAAACATGGGCCAGGTGATCAAGGTCTCCACTGCCGCGTAGGATCTCTCCATCCATTCCCACCACTACAGCGCGTCACCCTCCAAGTAAAAGGATGCCAGGTAAGCTTTCCTCTCCTCTGGAATCGGGTGGTTCTTAAACCACCGCTCAACTACATACAACCAAAGACTTGCGTCCTCTTGCCCATTGAATCTTGGGAACTCAATGGTGGGAGGCTTAGCTAGGAAAACTATGCCACCAGTTCCCTCATAAGTAAGGTAGTACGAACCATACATGTCCTCACCCGGTGTTCTCCATGGCTGCCCGTCCAATAATCCCTGTCCTGGGTTCGGGTTCCCAGGTCCGTAGCACCCCTGATAGTCGCCCTGTTGGTCCTGGTGCCATCCCGAGGCTTCTCGCGCTCCATATGGCCCTCTCCAGCACGCGGATCCCTTACTGTCCTCTCTACCCGGCGGCTGGTGAGTTGGGTTAGGTCGATGCACGGTTCGACCCACCTCGGGTCGACCCGATTTGGTCCACCCAGGACCGGTTCGACCCACTCCGGCCTGACCTGGTTCGGTCCGCCCACCTTCGGTCGACCCGGCTCGATCCGTCCGCCTATAGGTCGACCTAGTTCGATCTGCCCGATACCGATCAGCCCCACAGGAGCCGACCCCATCAGACCGGTTGGGTCAGCCGCCCGGCCCGGTCCACCACTCCTCTAGTCCACGACTGGGTCGGCCCGTCGGTCCACCAAGCTGAGCCCGTCATCTTCGGCCTCGTCATCGAGGCCCAGCCATCGAAGCCCATTGCCATCCCTTGCAAATCGCCCGCCCATCTCCGGCCCATCAACTGTCAGAGGCTCGTCTGTGTCGTAGCCAGGCATCTTGGCCTTACCCTTGCGGGCCGCCAGCTCTTGGGTTGTGGGGGTGGGTAACAGGCCCGCTTCGATGTTGGGCCCAGACGAGCCAAACCCTGGCGCGTCACCCCAGCCACCGCCGCGGCCACCTCCGCTCCCGCGGTCACCGCCGCCGCAGCGCCCTCGTCGTCCACCACAGCACCGCCGGCGCCACGCGGCTCCGCCTGGCACGGCCATTGCCCCTGTCGCTGCATCACGAACTCTCTTAGCTCGACAATAACCTTCCAAACCTCCTGCGAGTCTGCCTGATGAGCTTCCTGATTCCGAATAGCCTGCCAAATCTCCTGAGAGTCTGCCTGACGAGCTTCCTGATCCCGCTTCTGTGCGACCAACACCTTTTCCAAGATAGTGCGAAGGTCCTCTTCCTCCATCACATCCTCCACCACGCCCTCCTGGCGTCCTCTGCTGGTCGTCGACAGTGGGGGCCTTGACTGCTCCGTTTTGGCTGGCGCGGTGGTGGCCTGGGTTGGCTTCGGCGGTACAGTCGCCGCAGTCACCATCTCTTCTCCATCACCATCTTGACTTGCAGCTCCTCCCGCAACCGCCTTCTCCTGCGCGACTTGGGCAGCCTTCTCAGCAGCCGTCATTGATTTCGTCAGCACCATCCTGTTCGTTGGCCCTTGATCAAGAACGGGGCTCTGATACCAAATTATAGAGCCCGTTAGATTGGGTTCTATCTAGGGATTGTGATTGGGGAAGATCAACTAGGGATTGATCTTTGGGGTCACAGAAAAGAGGAAGGGAAGAGGAAGTTGTTAGGGGCGTGAAGAAGAAAGGAGAGGGGAGGGCGGCAGTAGGCTGCCGAGGGAGAGGGAAGGAAGAGAGAGGGTCGGCTGAATTGGGAGAGAGAATGAGAATTAGGATTTAGGTTATAATCTTTGCTTAATCCCTTAATTCCACGTACAAGTAGTTTATATAAAAATGGTTGGTTCCCTACTGCTACCCGATTATTCCCCCAATGCCTGAATAGTCCAAATAATCCGAATAATAATAAAACGACAATAATTCAAAGTACTAAAATGCAAGTGCTCATCAGCATTGGGCTAGTGCAACGCAAGAAAATGTTTTTGTTTTCCCGACCGAAATGTTGGTTTGGTTGGAAGTGGTTCAGTGTGCACTTGTTCGCCTCCAACATTAGCTTGCTTCTCATAACTTTAGAACACAACTCTGGTTTCCCATGAATGCGACTTGACTTCACTCCATTCGAATTGGAATAAACTGCAAGAGTAAATCAAAACTGCAGAAACAAGTATCCCATCTGGTCCTAAAATCTTCCCTCCAACAAAAAAAGAAGCATGTTCAGCCCTTTCATCGGCCTGATCTTTCCAGGGAAAGCTTAAATCTCTCATAGTTAAGGCTTATAACACTGCCGCGCTTATAACATTGTCGCCTCCTTCAACCACATCCATAGAATGGAAAGCTAAGGAAAATGGCATCCTAAAACCCTCAAGTTTCTGCTGTTATTTTTCTTACTTGTTACTCTTTTAAGCGTCCGACATGGGAAGCTCACCACACTCCGCAATGACAATCCTCTTCCTGGGACGGTCGCCTCTGTCTGTCTCCTGCGATTCAATGAGCTTCACAATGTCTATCCCCTCCAACACTTGTCCGAATACAACGTGCCTCTGGTCTAGCCATGGGGTCTGCCAGAAAAAAAAAGTGAAGGATGAAATCAAACTTCAGATCATCAGAAAGAGAAAAAAATTCAAACTTGCATATGAAGAACATGAGGTAGTGATAAATTATGCTAGTTGTGTACTCGAATCCTCTTCTTCTAACACGCAGCCAAGTAGCGGATCAATTGCTACATGAGTGATCACTGGAGTTGGGGTTGCTAACAAAGTAAGTCACTAAAATTTGATCGTTGACATAACATTCTTAAACAACAGGTCCCCAAAATTCTGAGCTCCTTAGTTCAATATGATATTCAAGAAGAATCTCAGAGGGATCAACTTTATACAGAAATTGACATAAAATTATATATTACCTTGACAGTGCAAATAAAGAACTGACTCCCTTTGGTGTTAGTCACTGCAAATACAATACAGGATAAGTTCATACCACCAAATTCCTTACGGAGTCATGATCAGATGGCCATTATTTAAGCAATCATTCACAATTGAAAAGAAGTTGCCACTTTTTTTTGTTATGATGGAAAAGAAGTTGCCACTTGATTGAGACCTAAGCAGATTAAATTATGTATCTTCTGTACCGCATAAAAGAACAATTTAGAATCAAACTTACACTTGAAGTTCTCGCCTTTAAACGTCCGACCATAAATGCTCTTGCCTCCAGTGCCCTGAAACCAATATCAAGCGTTGGGGGAGGTGAGTAAGCATATACATCGCTTCTCATAAACAATGCTAGACAAATTGAATAGCCGGCAGAAAACAGTGTTCAAAGTGATGGTTAGTTATCAAGTAAGAGAAGCACTTGTGGCAACAGAAAGAGACAAGACTAACATACATTTCCCTTGTCGAAGTCGCCTCCTTGAATCATGAAATCCTTGATGACACGATGGAATGCTGAATTTTTGAAGCCGAATCCCTTCTCTCCTGAGGAAACAACAACAACAAATGCAACTGGATAAACCAGTAATTTAACACTCCCCATGGAAAAGCTTACCAAGGGTAATGGCAGTAAGAAGATGAGAGTCGAACCTGTGCATAAAGCGCGGAAATTCTCAGCAATTTGGGGCACATCATCGCCATACAATCCGATGAAAATCCTCCCAACAAGTTTCCCAACTGGGTTCCCAATGCTTACATCAAAATACACTTTGTTGGTCACTTTGGCCTGCAAATCTGGGACCTGGGAACCCATCAATCAATTAAGGCTTCCGGACATTATCCGATTCAACTCAATTCTAAATTGCAATCAATGGAAACCCAATGCAGCCATGGGATAGCCTTTTACCTGAGCACTAGCTCGGACTACGGAGTTAAGAGGACGAACTCCACTCGTCTGAAAAGGGGAAGGCGAGTTGAGTGGGCTGGGAGCAAGAGAACCAAAGAAGGACAAGCTAGAGGAAGGAACATATGAAGGCTTCACTAGAGTCCTTCCGCTAGAAATCTTGACCGAGCTGCAACTAGGGCTCAAAGATTTGAGTTGCGATATGCTAGAGAGCGAACCCGCGTTCGACTGCGAAGGACTAGAAAAATGAGAAACCCACAGTCTTTATACGAAAGAAGAAGCGCCAATTCGAAAGCAGAGTCTGCAAAAGGGCGCTAGCATTTACCAGGGTTGTGAAATTGGTCGCCATTGATGAAGTGAGCTAAGTAGCTAAGGGTCTGAGAGTGAAGAGATAGCAGAGTACTTTCAGTAACCAATGGTTACTGACCTATGAGTAACTAAATCTGGACCTTTAGATTTAAGTAGGTTCAGAAAATTCAGATCTAATGATTGTCAATTAAAGACATTTTATTTTTCCTAGTTTTCTTAATCGGCTCTTATCTTCTTCGTTCTAACTCGAATTTCTATTTTTTTTTTGCACAGATGGAACGAATTCGTTGTGCTCTACAAAATGAGATCAATTTTCAATATATTTCGAGAAACTTTTTATTTACCAACTACATACCATATGGTAACTTCTTCGTTTTTAAGTCGTTTTTGAAAACGTTTGCTCAGAAGGAACAAGTTCATCATGATCTATTGGATCTCTAAATTTCTGGGTGAAAAAAAATATTCGATAAAAAATTATCATACTTTACCACTATGGTATGTGGGTGGTAACTTGTGGTAAACAATGATGAAAGTCGTAAATGACAGTTAATATACTCCTACTATCATGTATTCAACCTTCTTACCATATTGGTATGTTCATACCATCATGGTACGCTTTCTTACCATATGGTATTAAATAGGAGCATACCATATGGTAACGACTGGGAAAAAATTATTTTTTACTAAAAATATATCAAAGTGGATATCATTTTAAAGAGCACATTTAATCTGATTTATCTGTGAAAAAAATTAAATTTCGACTTAAAACGATAGAGAAATCGTCCGTTAAAGATTAAAAAGAAAAAATGAAAGACTTTATAGGAAAGAGAGGATACTGATGTCATGCTGATGTGGACAAGTTACTCAGCGTTACTGACCATTGAGTTACTGAGCTGATGTTTGAAATGGGGAAAATTGTAGCGGTACGAGGGAGATAGGGTGCACGGCGGAAGTATAAAATGAATAGTTGGAACTTGGAAGCAAGGTTGTCAAACCGGGGTCGAACCGACCGATCGAACCGGATCTGGCCGAAACCGGGCATTAAAAGGGCTAGTGCCAGCCATAATTTGAATTAGTCGGTAGCCGGTCAAGACCGGTTAAAATCGGTCAAAACCGGGGTCTGACCGGACTTATCCGGCTACCGGCCATGAGGAAGTGACGTCGTTTGGCCTGTTCTGGAGCTTCTTCTGAAATCTGAATTGAATCTTGAACCCTAGGCCTAGCAAAACTATCGCATGATCGCATCCCTTCCTTTTCTTCTTCTGCCGAGCAGCAGCCAGCAGAGCCTTCGCCCGCGGCCACAACCAGCGCAGTCGCCGCCGCTCCCTCGTTTCGACCCAACTCCCTGCCCCACGTCTCACCGCCGCTCATTCGCCCCCTCGTCTCAAACCAGGTCCCCAACTCCTCGCCGTCGCTCCCCGCCCGACGCATCGACCCAACTTCCCGCCGCCTTGACAGCAGTCCCCGCCCCTGCCTCAATACTAGCTTAGATCGTTTCAGGTAGGTGCTTAATTAGGTTTCTATTGTGTAGTTTCAGAATTGGAAAAGCACATCTTGGTTCTGTTTCCATTTCCAGTTTCCACAATGGAATCGAGCATTGGTTGTTGTTAGATAGAGAGAGTGGGGGAGAAAGAAAGAAAGAGCATTGACGTTTGTTTGTTAATTAGGAGTTAGTAAGGAATGCAGCAGGTTAATTTGGTTGATGGAATTGATGATACTTTGTTATTTTGTTAATTATTTACTTGTTTGATAGATGGAATCGAGTGATGTATCAAGTCAGCCGGCTTAATCCGGTTGAACCCCGATTCGACCATTAAACCTCAAATCCCTTGTTAAACCGGTTAGAGGACTTAATCCGGTTTAACAACCTTGGAAGTGAAGAGAAATATCAGTTTTGTCCTCAGGCATCTAAGAACAGAATATCCGAGGCGACACGTCTCACCATCTTTGACGGCGATAAACCAGATAACAGTTTTTTTACTCAGCAGCGGCAGTAAATTAGTAATGCTCTTTACCAAGGTTGTCAAACCGCGGGTCGACCCGGACCCGGATGAGCTAGTGGGTCATGGGTCAATGGGTCACCCGTTTTAGCCCAGTTTAGCCCGGTTTAGCCCGGAAATATGGAAAATGTAATTATATTATACTTATCCTGAATCCAACATAAAAAAATGCAACACTACTTCAACTCCAACACACTTAAATAACATCAACTTAAATTCAACATAGTAAAAATTCAACAACACTTAAATCATTCACAAAACATCACATATATCTTTCGTTCCATTTATTGGAACCAAGTCCCAAACCCTTACCAAATGACTATGACTCAGGGAACTAAAGGTAATGGAGAGGCTCGGGTCGCAAATAATGGAAAAGAGCAACCCGCTGACCCGCTCCAACGGGCTAACCGGCCGGGTCAACCCGGGTTTGACTATTTCCGGGCTGACTTGAAAATGGGTTGGTATGACCCGTTTTTTTGGCCGGGTCCGGGTTAATCCGGGTCGACCCGCGGGTCGACCCGCGGGTTGACAACCTTGCTCTTTACTGAAATACCAATGAATTTGACAGCATCCACAGAACTATTTTTACCTTCGAGAAAATGCTATTGGGCCATTTGGGCGCATATTGAACCTAAAGGTGCGAGCTTTGAAGCCATTATTAAACACATTCTTTGGTTCAACAATGACTATCTGGCTGTTGAAGCCATTATTGTTTTCAGCTGCAGCTCTTCTCCCTCCATGCCATTCTTACACTTTACTGTTTCCAACTACTCTGCGCTATTCCCACCGTCGATCAATTGGAGTTTCTCGAGCAAAAATGGACTCCAGCGATGGAAGCACGGCGCCTGCTTCCAAAATCATCGATTCGCATCTCCACGTTTGGGCATCTCCTGAAGAGGTATTCAAGATTCAAGCTTTCGCAATTGGAAGTTTATAGCTTGGCAAATGGCTGGTTGATCCCAAATTACTATTAGCTCTGTTGCTCACCCAGTTTTTTGTTTGGGTTTGTGAAAGGCTGCAGATAAGTATCCTTATTTTCCTGGCCAAGAACCCACTTTGCCTGGACATGTGGATTTCCTGCTCCAGGTGGGAAAACTCTCCTTTGAGCTAGCTCACAATTCAGTGAAAGTTCTTTTTGGGGGGAATTCAGTGGAATGAATGCCTTTGTGTTTATGTTGTGGTGTCTTTTGTGTTCAATCCAAAGTGCATGGAAGAAGCAGGAGTGGATGGTGCCCTGATTGTGCAGCCTATTAATCACAAATTTGATCATTCTCTAGTCACAAGGTCGGTCAGTCTTCCCAGTTTTATGAAACCTATTCTTTCACATTCGACTATAGGCATTTTAGATTAGAATGAGCTCATATAACATAATACAACTATCGCCATGAATTAAGATATGCCAAATCGGCAGAATTGGATTGGTTGTTTCAGTTTAGAAGATTAAAGGCTTCTGGCTTTAATGGCTGTGTTATCACATGGTAGTGTTGTGAAGAAGTATCCAACCAAGTTTGTTGGCTGCTGCCTTGCAAATCCTGCTGAAGATGGAGTTGGGATTAACCAGCTCGAGCTGCTTGTTGTCGAGGTAATGTTGCGTTCGTGACATGATACATTGCATGAAAGAAATACGATCCTTTGTTCTTATCATTTTCGCCTTCGCCTCTTGTGCCAGGATGGTTATCGTGCTGTTCGCTTTAATCCATATCTGTGGCCTTCTGGCCAGAAGGTAAATGTCTACCTTCCATGTCATGTTGCTTGGTAGTGAAGATCGGCTGTCGCTCTTCATAAATTCTATTCACAAGAGAAAACCTTTCTTGGTTCCTTATGTGGCACATGTGGAACATCTTGTGCAGATGACAAATGATGTTGGGAAGGCATTGTTTCGTAGAGCTGGTGAGCTTGGAGTACCTGTTGGATTCATGTGTTTCAAGGTAAACGCATCTGTTTTGAGCTAGTACTTTGCATCTGTTTCGATGGCTCCATCCAGAACAGAATTGAACTGTATAGCCTTTTAGTTTAACGTTAAGACTCTGGAGTCTTCTTCTTGCAGGGTCTTAATCTCCATATCGCAGAAATTGAAGAGCTCTGCACAGAGTTCCCCTCCACCCCAGTTCTGATGGACCATTTGGGTTTCTGCAAACCCCCAACGTAAGTAAAAAGCAAACCTCCAGAAACTCAGCTTCTTAGAAAGAGAGCACACAAATTGTCACCAATTTTATCATCGTTTGCCTTTGCAGAAACGACGAGGAAAGAGCTGCCCTCTCAAACCTGTTGCAGCTATCCAGGTTCCCTCAGGTAAAAGAACACATTGCTTCCATTCAAAGTTACTGCAAACAATCCTTTTTTTTCACACATTAACAGGTAAAACTGTGTTTGTTCTGGGTAACGGTTTGAAGGTATATGTGAAAGTCAGCGCCTTGTTCAGGGTGTCTAGAACTCAGAGCCCATACGAGGATTTATCAACCCTTGTGTCTCAAGTAGTGTCCAGTTTTGGCGCCAAACGTGTCATGTGGGGAAGGTAGAAGTGAAACCTTGTGTATTTCTACCTCAAATTCAAATATGTTTCTTTGTTTCTCATTTGTTGTTCCTTTTACCTTTTTTGGGGCAGCGATTTCCCATATGTAGTTCCTGAATGTGGGTATAAAGGAGCTAAAGATGCAGTGTCCTGCTTAGCTAGTCAAGTGCCGCTGTCTGATACAGAGAAAGAATGGGTTATGGGCAGGACAGTAATGCAGCTTTTCCAGGGTCAATGGATTCCTTAGATCTTGAGGGATGTCTCGGCCATGCTCCATGTTCATCCCGATTTGCTCTGTTCCTTATGAGTACATTATTTGGACAATTAATGGTAGGAATTCGTTTGTATTGTAGATTTGCATGGTGCAGTTCAACTCAAGAATCAATTTAACCAATCCCAATGAATCTGTTTGCCCGGCTCGGTCCTCTCGTTTCATGGTATGCAAAGGGATGGCCTGGGCGGCTGGGCCATTTCAATGAATCGTGGTGGTTCTTTTCTGAAACTGGGATGTGACTGAATTTCTTTAAGTATAATAAAGTAAAAACGAGCATGATATAGTTATTTACACAATAGTTTCAAATAAACTTACCTATGAACTCATCAATGTTTGTATTCAGTGCAACAATATTATCAATCATCATCATTGCTAATTCATTAAGAATTTATTGTGTCATTTCATATTACAAATAAGGGTTTTTTTTGGTAGAACAAATAAGGGTTTTAGAACACAAATAAAACGATGATTATACATGAGAATATTAACCAATGACTACTAATAATAATAAACATATTTAAACACTTTATCATAATCATAATCAATCAATCATACACAACAAATTCATCATATAATATAGAATCGGATCAAATAACAAACCTACGGCGGAGGCCCCTAATATATGTAGCCTTGTGTTTGAGGGCCTCCTGACATCCGAATGACCAGCCTTAGGGATTAGGGATGAATATAGAATCTGAAGCTGCGGGTACCCTACTCGACTCAACCCGATCAACGCAGGTAAAATCAACTTTGACGGATTGCGGGTTGGGTTCGGATTTAAACCCGCTATAGTTTTTGCGAGTTGAGTTGGGTTGGGTTTGGGTTTAGCCATATCCAACCCGTGGATACCCGCACCCAAGTCCATACCCCCAGGCCCCCACGACCCATGGAACCCTTACCTAATTAGCTATAATTGATAAACTAATTCCTCACACGTTCAATTAATCATATTGTTTGTAGATATTTATCTTTAATATTGAACGATTAGTATGAATGATTTGTGAGTTAGTGTGTATGTAGTAGATAATAGTAGTGAAAACTAGTATAATTACATCTTTGTACATGAACCTATGGGTACCCATGAACCCCGCAGATACCCAGCGGGTTGAGTTGGGTTTGAATATTTCAAATTTAATAGGTTTTACCCCGAATTTTTTAGGTGGATAAACCCATAAGTTGAGTTTGGGTTTGATATAATTCACCCCAACCCGACCCAAAGGATGGCAATAGAACGGGCTTGAGGCAGATTTCCATAAACCATCCTCATCCCCATTTCTAAATAGTCGAAGAACTATATATACATTATCACAGGATATCCAAATTCGACATTGTTCCAAATAAGCATTATTCGTATAATTCTTCTTAAAGACAAAATACTAAGACAATTTTTTTTCCTACAATCATAGCAAGACCAGTCGCACGCTTACACTGTAGTTTGAAATATACGTGAGCTTAGAATGACCGTTGAAGCTCCTTAACATCCATAATAAAACTGGTTTATATTTTCTTTTTTCTTTCTTCTTTTTTTTTTTGTAGAAAGGTAGACGCATTGCGTCTAGTTTACATTAAAATTACGATCATGGGAAGTCCCCAAAACATCATGGCCGAGCCATTGAACAAGGTCTCTATCGCACACATTGAAGCGATGTGTGCCAAAATCGAAATCGTGAGCCTTGCTGGCCAAGTAATCGGCCGCAAAATTCACTTCCCTAAACACATGGGAAACACAAACCTCCCAATCAAGACTAAAAAAGAAATCAAACTGCTTGGCTATGCTTCCATGTCGATGATCATCTCTGTCACAATGTTTGATGATGTCAACTACTGTAGTAGAATCGAGCTTTAGCTCTATCTTTCGGTAGCCTTCCTTCCAAGCAATTTTGAGGCCTTCCAATGCACCTTTGAGTTCTGCAGACGTGATAGAGCATGAGCCCAGGTTGCACACATAAGCCCCTTTGCATCTTCCCAGGTAGTCTCTGAGGAGGCCCCCTGCTGCTTTCCCTGTCTGAGAAACTGAACCATCAGACTGAATTTGGTTTATATTTTCAATTACCAATAATTTTAAAGAAATAATTATAGGATATCAAGAAAAATTTAGTTATCTATATTTTTTTTATGAATGTGATCTTAACTATAAATGCTATGATGAGGGGAGAGAAGAATAAATATTTATTTTTTGTGAAAATCGAATTGCCTTGTGTGGTATTATCAGCTTCATTTCTTGTACGACTGGTCACGAGACCTCATTCGTAAAACCAAGTATGAGCCTCAATACCTCCATGATAGTTCAACTTCGTATATCTTCAAAATGCTATTTGAGAAACGCTTTACAGATTTAGCTCTCTATGTCCCACTGGAACTCTATACATTTCTATGAGAAAACTATGGGGAATGGGGATCATGTACAGGAAAAAAAAGAATTACATCGACTAAAAGAAACTCAAAGACTAATCATCTAGGCGATGGATTTCACCCATCATGATACGGTTGCTTGTGACTTTAAAACCAAGCAGTGCCGGATCTATTTGCCGCCCTTTCTTCCCTTTCTTCTTCCCACCACCTTTCCCTCCTTGCCCTCCCTCCATCATCCCTTCCGAGGGGACAACAGCTCCCCCTCCACCGCCGATCCCCTGCTGCTGCTGCATTGCTGCCACTTCCGGACCTTTCTTTGCATTACTCTTCAGCATGTCTATGAACGACGGCTCGGACACCTCACCACCATCCCCATATGATGATGTTCGTCGGAACATCATGTTGTCTTTCTTGACAATGTTCTCCGAACCATGGTTCGTCGAGCTGAGTCCTGTGTAACAAGAACGGAGCTCAGTAGGGCATACGAGGGCTGCTCAGCTCAAAAGAGAAGGTTGCTTAAGATCCAGGCAGATCACAGCAACTTTTAAACATAAAATCCATATTTTCCTCTTCAATTACTAAAGAGTACGCATACTCTAAACTGGAGTCCATTGTTCGAGGACGGAAAAAACAAAGAAGAATACAAGAGTTAGAAAGACTGGAGAGTACCATCAATGGGGGGTAAGCCGCCTTTACCACGGAGAGATGATTCAGAGACCAGGTCGGATATCCCCTCGTGGGATGAGGATGAACGTGAGGAAGGTGGACGTCTCAGCATGAAATTTTCTTGCCCCTTTTGTCCTGCGGTTAACCTGACCAAAAACACAACATAAAAAACATAACCACCATATAAGCTTAATTGCGTACCAATCCATCACTGAACGAGCAACTCGTGAGGAAGCCTCTAACAACACTATTCCAGGGCACACACAACTGCAGAATATCAAAGAGTTGTAAAACAATGGGGTATTTCTGGCCGCTAGACTATGCTATTTTGACAAATAGGTGTCTGTTGACTGATTTTTAACAAACATGTCTTGCAATATACCGTTTACATGCTTATTAGTTCGTCAGATAAAAAGTTCCACCCAGACTAGTTACAATTAGGATTCACCAATATTTAGTACACATTTCCATCGACTCACTGGTCAACCATGTTGCATATTCACTTTCTGTCCCTCAATTAGACTCTTAAATCTCACGTCTCCTATTCTTATCCGGGACTTAAATAGAGTCAAGATCAATTAACAGGATCGGTTTGAGGGGGTGAGGAACTTAAAGCATGCATAACATGTGACTAAAATGCCATTAACCCTAGCACTCTGTTCATTTACAAGGGAAAAGCAAGGGGAGGGAAAAGATAGAAGGAAAGTTGTGTTTCCAATACACTTTCCTTTGTTCGGGAAGGAGGGAAAGAAAGGAAGGGGAGGGAAAATGGAAGGAATGGGTACTGTATCACCCTACCCTCCAAATTGGAGGGAAAGAGAGAAGGAAGAAGTTTCTTTTGTTTTTATTTGTTTTTCAGTTTATTTTTTGGATGGGATGAATGATTAGGAAATTAAAGTTTATAATTTTTTACATTTTTTATTTTGTTGGATAAACATCTTATACAAATTGGAGAGAAACAATCTTTACATTGTTTTTTCTGTTTCTTTTTCTTTTTTGGGTTTATATGTTCTTTTTTTATATTGTCCATTGAGAGTGTTTAATGTGGAATAGGTTTCTTTTATTCTTTTTTCGTTTTCCTTCCCAACGAGGTCTGATTTAAATGAGTATGTTATTTTTAATTTTTGTTTTTGCTAAGAAGAGATAAATGCGCTATTGTGAATATATGCAAGAGGTTATATTTTTAATCTGTATTTATATGGTTGCATGGCATTGTGAAAGCAAAAAAAGTGGGAAGTGTTTATTTTTATTGTGAAAGCAAGTAGTTAGACGATAGAGTAAATTATGGAAAGCAAAATATGAAAAGTAGATCAACAAAAAAATATTATAATTAATGAGTAGTAAGTGATATTTCCAATAAATTGTTTGTCTCGTATTTTCAAAATAAAAAACTTTCATCATTAAAACATGATTTAGGAGTTAAAAAACATGATTTAGGGAAAATTTTAAATTGAATAAAGATCACCGCTATGAAGCCCTAGTCAAAATTCGCAATTAACAACTTTTAAATTGAATAAAACATGATTTAGTCAAAATTTAAATTGAATAAACCAACTTTTGATTTGTTGTAGTTAACAAAATTAACAAAGAAGAACAAATTTGATCCACATTACATAATTAATGTAAATAATATAAACACATAATTAAATTATTTAACTATTCTATCATCAATAAAATATAATACATATCACAATTCCCAATCTACTTTTTCCCTCCCACTTTCCATTCCACTTTCCTCCATTAAACAACATTTTCTTTCCAATTCCCTCTAATTTCCCTCCCTTCCAAACTTAACCTCCCTCCAAATTTTCCTACCCTCCCCTCCTTTTCCTCCCTTCCTTCATGAACATAGTGTAGAAGAATCAGATAGAATTACAAGTCGAAAAACTTACTGATTCATGTGAATCTCATCAGAAAAGCATCCTTTTTGCCCAACCTTGTCATCATAAAACCCTGCAATTATCATCATCTTAAATACTAAACTCCCAATTCCTCATGACCATCAATGTAAAGAGCAAATGAAGCATACATCAATACTAATTACCAATTGAAGAGTTTCTGCTAAGAGCAGTAATCGGTGTATCTATACGGTCTCCAGCACCACCACCGAATCTTGCCTGTTCAGCCATGCTGCCATCTTGAACATCCAAGATCGAAGAACCTCTCATCATACTTCGATCTGAAAACCCCACCTGGGGAGGAGCCTCATTCATCAAGAACCTCCTTCCCCCAGTATTTGCGAACTGGTCATCGCCTGTAATAAAGTCAGCCGTATCACGAGGATTAGAAGGACCATAGGACCCGATTGGGAACGAGCTGTTCAAGGTAGCTTCATGGCTGGGGCCCCCCATATTATAAGGAAGGTCAGAAGTTCTGTCAAAAGATCTTGTGTCATTCATGTGTACAGCATCTTGATGGCTAGATTTCTGATGAAGCAATTCCATCAGCAGTTGTCTCGACTTGTCCTCATTCATTCCGTTATCCGACATCCATAATCTCGAACGATCCTGAGCAGCTGCGGCCATTTTAGCTTCGGCCGCCTCGCGTTTCTTATTGATCTGCAACTGCTGGATTTGAGATTCCATCCAGTCGTCAGCAACTCCTGGGTGGTGGTGCGGATTCTGAGGATGACCACCAATCGCATTCATCATTACCGCATCCATATTCATCCCTGAAGCACCGCCGTGAGGCATCGACATAGACCGCTCAAAAGGCCCACCACCAGCTGTATCAAAAAGACCTTGTCGAAGTCGATCCTGAAAGGAGAGCGTTCGATCAAGGTGATTGTTCAGCTGCTGCTCCTCCTGTCGTTGCATCTGCTGCTGTCTCTGATAAATATCGAATGGGCTTAACCCTGAAGAATGATTAGTCCTTTGATTTGCAGCAAGACTCCTACGGAACTGGTCATTTTCATTGATTGGCCACATGGACTCGAGGAGCTGTTGCTCTTCTGCCAGCTGTCTTGCCTGAATCTGTTCCTGACGGAGTAGAAACTGCTGCTCTAAGTTCTGGATTTGCCCATGCTGTGCACGTGATAACAGTTCAAACAAATCCCTCTGCTGCTCTTGTTGCATGGATGGGTGAAAATGTCTCGAGGAGGGATGTTGGCCCCCCCTCTGTTGCTGCATTTCAAGCAGAAGTTGCTGCTCCAGGATAACTTGTTCCAGAATATTGTTGGCTCTCACAGGATCAGGCACCTGACCATGCAACAGCTGTTCAACAATCACCTGCCGAGCTTGAGATATCTGTCTCTCCTGTAATAGCTTCTGCTGTTGTTGAAGCTGCAACTGATGTTGCTGTTGTTGGAGCTGATGTTGACGCTGTTGTTGCAGTTGGAGTGCTAAAAGATGCTCGACATCGGGATTAGAATGGCCCATCAACTGCTGCTGATGATGGTGAACGAGATTCTGTGTAGGTCCATGTTCCATCAGTGATTCGTTTAAGAGAGAATGAGGAGATAGCCTACTCTGCTGCTGCTGCTGAATTTGTCGGGAGATAAGCTGCTCTGCTAGATCGACCTGATTATGTTCTTGCTCGAAATGTGGCAGCTGTCGATTATTAACAATGGAGTCATGGAAAAGATTAGGGCTAGGAAGTGAGTCTTGTCTGTAAGGGTTCGACCATTTCTCGGGTGTTGGATCACTCAATGAAGCAAATGAGGCGGTTCTCTGCACATCGGTTGTTAAGGGAGGCCTAGCATGAGAGCCTTCAAGCTCGGACCATAACAGGCCAAATGGATGCAACGTAGTTGTATCATTTTGCTTTGGTAACCCGGGATCTGTGTATTCGTTGGCAAGAGATGGATTACTGTTTGAACCTGTTACTGAAACACGAAGACTCCCAGATGATGGTACAGGAGGAATACCAGCACTGCCCGGTCTACCTGGAAACACAATTTCTGGAAGATCAACAAAACTCATTAGAAGTAGAGAAAGACGCAAAAACAAAAAAAAAAAAACAAAAAAAAAAGCAAAGTAAACCCTTTTTTACAGAAGATCAACAAACCTTCATCTTGCACACTGAGATCATGAAAGCTTTGCTCATCAGGAGGCGGCCGCTTTGACAAAATATCAGTGTCTGAAATCCTTGTGCGAGTATGCTCTGACGATGATTGCCCGTCATTTTCCTCAGTCAATAAGCTGGCCTCCGAGATTCCATTGGCCAAATTAATAGATTGCGGCTCCATGAAAGATTGAGAGTATGGTTCTTTGTGCTGCAGCTGAGGTAAGACTTCACCTAGATTCTGAAAAGGTGTTCCTTCAGGAGCATCTGCTAAGCGAACTGGTAAATCTGTTCCAAAGTAACCCTCCTCAAACCACATGACTATATCTGCTCCAAGAAAAGGCCCTTGAGTGTCTCCATGAGGATCTATATAGCAGAAGTACAATTCCTCAAGTGGAGTACTTGATTGCTCCCCATTCATCCCCATGTTCTTCTCGGAAGAAGGTAGAGGAAATAGAGAACTCGGGTCATCCGGCAGAATAGGGTTTCCTTCTTCAACAAACCCGTTATGCTGGTCAACATTCACATGATTCTTTAGTTCATAACTCGAAGCAGAATTAACCCCATTTACACCATTGTTTCTCAAGGAATCTGCCATGAAACTATCAGCAGCTCCTCTACCTTCAACTTCTTGACGATTACCACCTTTATCTGATACAACAAAACACCTATTCGTTTAGATACGGAGTGATGTATGTGTGGTGTGTTCTTAAAAATTAAATCTACTGAGTCAACATGATTTCAGGTATTCAATGAGAAACAGAAATTAAGGAAATAGTAAACAAACCTTGATCCGACGATAGCAGAACATAATTTTCATGGCCCAGTGAAGAGTCCCGAACGGTATCAGAAGAATCATTGGTGAGAAGAGAGTTCTCAAGACCAAATTTCCCCTCGGAAGAATATTCATCAAGTCCAACTATATAAAGACAGAAGAGTTTCAGTACTAAGATTCATCAATTCCATCATCAGGCAACATATATTGAGCCAAGTAATCCGAATTTTACCTGAACTATTCTTGTTTGATTTCCCTGTGCTGGATGAATTATATGCCACTTCACTACTTGTGACCTTTCCCTTCAATATATCAGCAAGAACAGCCTGCATAACAATCAGCACAGAATTAGAGAGCTAAATCAATAAAAATCAACGAATCACATAAATACTTGATCTGAGGGCCAATTACAATTAGTGGTACAACCTAGTTACTTACCAGCTCTTCACCACAAGGAGTCACAAAAGCTAAAGGTTCTGTACAGCTCACTTCAGTGATTGGGGGAAATTCCTCCATGTTTGCAGGCATAGAACCGAATGATGGATCAAGCTTCTGTCGACGATAAATGTCCAGAAGTTTTCCCCTTGGATAGCAAAAGGAGGCAGTCAAAATAGCGGGTTTCCCTATGATGCTTTCAGTGTTGTAGGAAGCTGTAGGAGGAGAAGCTGCTATAGGCAAAGACCTCCCCACTGCACTAGACCTCCCTCGTCCAACAGCAAACCCTGTGCTTGATCCTTCCATTCGAGCTCGCTCTGGACCAAATCCTGGTGCAGCACGATAGGAAGATGGGCTAGAAGAATGAAGCTCCATCCTATGCCTTGGCCTCCATTTGTCACGAGATTCTGCCGCCTCGCGCTCAGCTATTCGGATGCTCCCAGTAGAGGCTTGATTGTCAACGTGAGTAGTATCATCTTTCTCTCTCTCTTTCTCCAGATCTGGTTTCTTCTCGATCCGGATTTCCTTATCTTTGTCTTCTGGGCCCCACCTAGATGACCATTTGTTATTCTCCCGTCTTGGTGCTTCATGCGCAGCAGCCATACGATTCCCAGCATCATGCCTTCGCTCTGAGGAAGGTAGTACAGACCTACTCTCAGCAGGCTCTCTGGCAACGACATCAGCACGGCGGTCCACCACTTTCCTGCGATCTCTTCTGGCACCAAGTAAGCCGGTTTCCCTTTCCTCTTCTCTCCAACGGCGACTAGTTTCATTCTCACTTGCAATCCTTCTCCAGTCCTTTTTATCCTCTGATCCATCTAAACGCCAAGTATCTTTTTGGCCTGGATCATTTGCTGCCCCTAGAGAGACATATGAGGGAGAACGCAAATCCTGACAGATGAAAATGCAACCAATTAAGCCTTACAAAGCACAAACAGTAAACAGGCTCAACAGCTTGTCCAATTCTTTTCATCAAATGAAATAGACAACCAGTTGCTAATCAGAGTGATATTAAACAGAAGGCAACACTAGCAGAAACACAGAATAAGAGTGTCCGAATGCAAAAGACGACACAGGGATGCGAGGTATGAAATTAGGGAAACCCCGAAAAATAAGGAATACACAGATAACAGAATCAACCAACATTTTGTCAAGTGGATATCTATTGGATGGTTGAGATAATATGTACCATCTTACTCTCACTTGGTTTCGTATAAAGCCACTGTGGAGACAAAGGTATGCTGCTATCCATCACCATTTGATCTGAAAAAAGATTGAGCAATCAAAATATTACTAAGCGAACAAAACTAACTGGAGAAAGCAAAAAAACCGACTATGGAATATATTATGCCTATCAGACAACAAGCAGAATGTCGATACATGAGGCTACCTTTGGAATCAAATTGTAAACCTCCGAGAACCTTATCCTCGCCACTTCCTCCCAGAGCTTCCACTGCCACACAGCATCATTACAGTCAGACCATCAGAAAACGTTGTCTCCAGTAAAAAATGTAGGGGGAACTACGCAAAGAAGATTCGAGCTACATGTACTAATAATACACTACTCAGAAAAGTTCTTATCAGTTGCTAACGCAAATCGCCTAATCATCGAAGACACGTCTAAACTTAATCGCAAAGAGGACTAGAGATTGATCCAAATTAAGCAACCTTTCAGGAAATCTGCGAAGGATAAGGAAAATCAAGAAGAAAAAGTGGAATGGCGGAGAAATCAGATCAAACTGGGAGCAATAACCATACATTACGAACTAGCGTTTTGGAAACAAGGAAATTGAACTAGAACCAGAGTGAGACAGGGAGCGAGAGAGAGAGTAGACCTCTAGGGTTGGGAGAGTGATCGGCGGGCGGTTTTGAAGAGGGAAGATCGACGTTGGGCAGATCGAGCTTGCGTCCATCCATGACGAAAGAGAGGGTGGGGAGATCGGGAAAACGAAGCGGAGAGAGAGCCGAGCACAGCCAAGCACAGAAAGACTTCGGCACTGAGGATTTGGCAGACTGCGGGAGTAATTACAGTAAACCAATACAACAACAAGAACGCGAACGAGACCGGCAGCAACCGGACGAGAGAAAAGAACCAGACACAGAGTAGAGCACAGCGGGAGCAGAAAGAGGAGCTGGTTTCCGGAGAGGATATAAGATTGAATGAGTTTGCAGGAGACTTAGGGTTCGGGAACTGGCGGAGGTGGGATGAAGATTGAGGAAGAGAGACAGCCACCGGAGACGGCGACGGAGACGAAGAGAGCGAGAAGCGGCGGCTAGAGAGATTGGGTTGGGGTTCGAGGCGCAGCGAGCGAGCGAGCTTGTGTTGTTATGTGAGAAAAGGGGGAAATGGGTGAGAGAGAGGAGACAGAGCAGCCAGGGCCGAGGTTGGGAAGAGAGGGTTTGAATGGTTGGGTGGTCAGAAGAGCTAAGCAAATCAGCTACCCTAAAATCGAACCAAAATGTTTTGCGGAAAATTGGAGCAAAAGAAAACAATTAAAAAAATAACAAAAAGATAATAAAAAACACTCAATTTGGGAATTGGGAGTTGGGAGCGTGTGATTAGTATAAATGGTCACAAAACTATGCACTTTATACAAATTGGTCACAAATCTTTAATTTTGCACGTTTCAGTAACATATGTTTGAATTAATAACAAAAATGTAATTCCGTCAATCTCCGTCCAAAAAACTGTTACTTCCATCCAGTCAGCATGTCATATCATTTAAAATATTAATAAAAAATTAATAACCAAACCCAATTGAACTAATAACCCAACCGAAAACTCTAATACTATTCCACCAAACCCAATTCTTCTTCGTCTGCGCCATCTTCTTCCCTCTGTTCTTACCAAAAATCACTACAAGCCCCTCTTTCATATAATAATTTCCAATCCAATTGTTATAACTAACAACTGCAATCTCAGAACTCGAGCAGAAGGTCAGGAAAGAGATTGAATGGAGAGGCCGCGACGAAAGTGCTGGTGGTCGGAGGCTTGGTTACCTACCACTCCACTTCGAGCCCGTCCCTGCTTCTTCTTGCCGGCGGTTGATCTGCAGGCCCCGAGTCGATCAAATTCAGTAGCGTCAAGATATTCAATTTCGTCAGTCGCTTCCGCACCTGTTTCCTCAGATCCATCCGGTTGGAACACACATAGACGACCAGCTCTTTGTCGATTTAATTGCCAGCTTTCACCTCGAAACCCTAGAACTCGAAGTCGTTTCGACAGCGAGGAAGCTCCAGGTTTCCAACAACCTGAAACTCTCAGGTTTCCAACAACCTGAAACTCTCAAGATCAAGAAACCGGTCGGGTCTAAGGAAATCGAATTAAGGTTTCCAGTTGGTTATCAATTGAATTGGGTTTGGTTATTAATTTTTTATTAATATTTTAAATGATGTGGCATGCTGACTGGATGGAAGTAACGGTTTTTTGGACGGAGATGGACGGAATTATCTTTTTGTTATTAGTTCAAGCATATGTTACTGAAACGTGCAAAATTAAAGATTTATGATCATTTTGTACAAAGTGCATAATTTTGTGACCATTTATGCTAATTACCCACTTGGGAGCCAAAGTAGTTATGGGCTTATGGCATTATGCGGTTTTCAAAATAAAAAATATATAGATGGTCACTGGTCAGTACTTAGAATAGACACACATAAAATTCTAAACCAACTATTATAAATAGACACACATAAAAATTACTCAATTAAGTTACGAAGGTTTGGGAGTGGAAAATAAATTGATTGATCATATACTTAAATCAATTCTTGTTAATAAATAATGACTCATTTTAACAATTAAATTTCAGAAATATAAATAAATTAATTGATGGTTGGTGGCTGAGCACTTAAAAAGGAATTTTTCAATTTATTGTTAGAATTTTAATTTTTATAAATATTCAAAATGTAAGTAAGTTTCCAATTAATTATTACGAATTAAATTACTTTATATGCTAAAAGGTTTAAATTGTTCAACAACAAGCTTGTAGTATAGTTGGTAAACAACTCATTCCTTCAAAGAAGAGGTTGATTTCAAATCCCAACTTCAACATTTTTATATAAGAAGCATAGAGGAGATCGGGCCAGCCAAAACCAGCCAAACGAGTTGAGCTATTTTTTTGGTTAACTAATCGGACCGGTTGCTAGCCATCCGGCTCTCAATAAGTGGTCTGAAGCAACATCCAAGGCAGAGTTGGGTATCATCAGTGATTCTACCGGTCGAACCAACTGGTACTATTTGGCTTCAATAACACTAATGTTTATCTCTCTCATATTTTATATAATTTCTCTTTTTTATGAATATAATTTCTCCTTCTATCTATGCATTTTTAGTACATTTTGATAGATTTTAGATAGAAAATATAAGGGTTAAACACTAATTATTAACCAAACCTTTTCAACATTCTTTTTATTATCCAAACCTATTGAATACTAATAATTAGGCAAATGTTTACTTCCAGACTTCGAGTGAGCAATTTTGTTAATAATATTGACTTGACAACATGACACTGACTTTGAAGAGATACATGGAGGTCAACATTCCAAAACTTTTGTATTTTAACTAAGAAAAGAGTTACAAATTATTGACAATAACGTAAAAATGGCTAATATGTTGATCCATTACAAAAGATCTGGTTAACTATTAGTAATTCAATAGGTTTGGCTAATAAAAAAGAATGCGAGAAGATTTGGCTACTAATTAGTGTTAACCCAAAATATAAATATATGATCAATGTGCGTGTAGTCCTATGATGTGCTTTTCTATCATTTTATGTATTTTTTTTATTTATTCTTTGATGCATTTCAGAGCGAAACACATTATAAGATGACTTGGATTAGCAATTGGATGAAACTGGACGATCAGAAGGGAGAGTTACTGGAAGATCAAAAAGATTCGCCCATTAAATGAAGCCAAATCAAGGAAAGCCTTTATGAAGTCATCATAAAAGCCCACGAGGAATTCAATGGAGAAATTTTAGCCCAAACCCACGGCGGCTGACTCGCTAAAACACAACTCCTAACAATGGCCAAGTGTAACCAATGAAAGGGACTGCAATATAGTGACACAAGTAATAAATATCGCATCCACGGGTCTCTAGAGTTACTATTACTCAGGTTCAGTTCATTATCTAGCAAATCAGATTGAGGTTTGATTAACTAAACTAATCTATTAGCTAAACTAGGTAAAACTACTAATTACAGGTTGGGAACTCACTTAGGTATGATTCCCCCTAGTCTGCAATTAGACCAAGTTGTAATTCACCAAAGTTGACAGATATACCGTGGAAAGTTCTTAAGTGGCCTGGCCTCTCGACTAAAGTTATCCGGACCCTCTCGGTTCAAATACCCGGCGTGCAACTAACCTCCACTGGCGTAAGCTAACCAAGGTAAAACACACAAAACTTCCTCTACTGGCTTTAATTCGAGTACAGGGTAGTGATCGATTTCTCGACTAAAGCAATCGATCCACTACTTCCAATTGAGGTTGCTCTATTAACCTATGCAGAGACTGTCGTTCTAGGTTAAAGCAGGAATCACAAAAGTTTGATCAAGACTCAAGTAATTCTGAATCAATGCCTCAACTGAATATAAAACGCCAATCAATCATGAATTTGAGTTCATACAACTCTTCCTAACATACAAATCTAGGGTTCCTCAAAACCTAAGTGAAGGGAAGTTACTCCATAGAGAAGAGAGAGCATGCAGAAATCTAATCTAGATCTTTAATCTCCATCTCCAAGCTTGTTTTCTGAGCTCCAATGGTGAAGAAATCCTCCAAAAAAGATCCAAGAATATTTCCAAGGTGATCTCTCTCTCTCTCTCTCTCTCTCTAGGGTTCGTCCCTTGGGTGTTTAAGATCCAAAACCCAGCTCTACTCCTTTAAAATTCGCAAAAACGCATTTATACAGCTCACAGAAACTAAGTTACGGCCCCAAGTTACGGTCGTAACCTTTGGGGTTCAGGTCGTAACTTCTGGAATGTATTCTGCCTCCCGTAGCTCCGAGTTACGGCCAAAATGGCAAAGTTACGATCTGAACCGTAACTTTGAAGGTCAGCCCGTAACTCTGGAGAGGCGGCTGTCCTTGGTCATTTCTCCCTCATCCGAACTCCGAATTAGTTGCCGTTTGATCCCAGACGCTCGTAGTCTCGTCCTATTTATTTCCATGTCTAGATTACATGATTATTTGTCCATAAAATAAGGTAGAAATCCATCCTTCCTTGAGTCATGCCCGAGTTTATTCCCCCGAGTCGCCAATTGATCTCCAATTGACTTGAAACTTGCGCCTATACTTTATTTTACGTGCTAGGACCTGAAATCTGACAATGGAACACAACCTAGCGTAAAATAGAGCAAAGTATGATAAAAACCAAGCTAAACCATCAAGAAATTATGGGTAAAAACATGTGCAAATTCAGTGTTATCAGCGGCCCTATGATGGCGGTAGCCGCTGCTGTTGGGCTAAACATATCAAGTCGTGCTAGATCTCATAGGAGAAGTTTCTTGTGGACCAAGCAACCCTAACGATGAAAGAAATTCACAGTGGGTCCGACCGCCGCTCCACCGCCGCCAACCTAAGGCTCAGGAAATCTTCTAGAAGATGCTTACTTCATCCCCAAGACAGAGAATCGAGTCTAAGCGGTACAAGGAAGCTAGAGGCCGAGATTTAGAGGAACCCCACTAGTTTACCTCTCTTTCTTGTGTGCAAGCGGTACAAGGAAGTTGGAGGCTGAAATATTTTCCTTCTCAAGGAAATCTCAACAAACCTCTAACTATCAGTATACATCACATCATCCACATAAACTAACAATAATTTTCTTTTACTCTTCTCCATTGACGAATAAACTAGGAAAGTTAAAGACAAGAGAATACCTCAGAATCTTATTGTTACATGCTCTTGAAACCAGTTTCAGGCCATTGAAATATTTCCTCGAAAGTACACACAAACTCACTCCTCTACACCACAAAGTTTTATGGTTGCTCTACATAGAAATCACCTTGTTCTTTCAACTTAGTCCTGAATGCACACTCAATCCCAACTTTGTTATATCCTAGCAGTAAGTGTCTATTTCCAAGTATCATTCTTAGCAATATATTTACACTTGAATTTTACTATTTCTCTCCCCTTAGCTTCCTCCGGTCTCTTTATCTCTCTCAATTTGGCTTCCTTAACTCTTTCCTCAAAGTACGAAAAGTATTCAATATACTCGATCATTGCACACACATTAGACATTTCATCTTACACTTCATGCATATCAAGTTTACGTGGCCACCTTCTAGATCTTAATCCCAACTATGTTTTAAGAAGTAACTTATGTTGAATCATTATATTCTTCTTGAGGATATGAATTATTGTTGTTCCTATTGCATTAGCATCTATGGTTACTGCAGGTCTAGTTGATGA